AAAAAAAAAAAAAAAAAAAGAATTTCTTCACCGAGCCGGGCGGTGGTGGCGCAGGCCTTTAATCCCAGCACTTGGGAGGCAGAGGTAGGCAGATTTCTGAGTTTGAGGCCAGCCTGGTCTACAGAGTGAGTTCCAGGACAGCCAGGACTACACAGAGAAACCCTGTCTCGAAAAACCAAAAAAAAAAAAAAAAAAGAACTTCTTCACCTAAACCAGATTGGTCATAGCACTTCTAAAGTGGGTGAAGTGGAGCACACCTATAATCCCGGAACTCTGTCTGGGGAGACTGAAGCAAGAGACTCAAGTTCAAGGCTGGCCTGGCTTATATAGCAAAACACACCCCCCTCCTTAAGTAATAAGGGTCTAGGGATATAGCTTAGTAATAAAGTCCCTTGCCTAGCATTTTCAATACTGAAAAAAAAAATCTTTACTTACTTGGGATTTGGGGACTCCCAAATTTAATAAATGCTTTGTCTCTTATATGTGCACACTTAGTATTTAATGAAGCTTCGAATTTTTTTCTCAAAATCATTCATTTAGGCTTACATTTTTTTTTTTAAGTTCTGTCAGTCAGTTCCCCAATCTGGGCTGAGTGCAGAACAGATGGGTGGACAGGAGACTACAAACGTTCCATGGGAAATTCGACTGTGGCAAAGAGAAGCTTCTAGAGGAATTATGGCACCTACTGTATGCCAAACAAATGGAGTATATTATCAAAACACCTTTACAAAGCTCTAAGAGGGCGTCCTACATCCATTTTTATTGGTGAGGGTCAAGAGGGTCAAGATACTGTTACAACCAAGAACTGGGATTTGAACTTGGGACTGCTGAACATAATGTTCTAAGTGCTAGTCCCCCTAATTTTCATCACATGGACTTCTCTTTCCCCAAGACTTATCATCCCATCTATTCTGGTTCATATTTTGGTGGTAGTTGTCTGCATGGGAAAGGAAGGAAAAAAGTATGCTGGGGTGAAATGCCGGGAGACCTTACAACAACCTGTGAAGTAGATAAAACCATCCCATGTTACAGAGAAAAAAAAAAAGCTTAGAGAACCCAAGTAATCCAGTCAAGACAATAGATGCTGGCACGCGGCCTATCTGGTTCCAGAAGGCAAATATTTCATACTACAAAATGCTGCCTGCCTCCCAAGGGAGGGAGGAAGCAGTTTCCAGGAAATGAACAGTATAAAATCCACCTCTAACCTAGTTAGCATGGGTGGAGGAGTCTGGTGACTCATGGCAAAATGCTGAATTCTCTTTCTAGGCTGAATAGTTGAGAAAGGCTGATTGGACAGCCACGCTCCGTGTTTATCAGATTCCAAGGGGGAGATAGTCACAAAGACCTACTACTACACGACAGGTTTGCCACAGAGCAAGAGCTGAAGGGGTCTGAGCCAAACAGTTCTCCCTTTCAATACAGAGAGCATTAAAGGGGAGTGTCCCCGGAGGAATGGATTTCTCATCTGTGAAGCAGGGAGCCCCAAATCTCTCTCCCGCCTTTTAGTTTTATAAACACATCAGATGTGGGTGGTAATGAGCAGAATGGATCCTAACCTTTACGAGTGGGTTGTTGGGAAGCTAGGGACTGCTCTCGGCTGGCAGGGTGTGTTTGTTTTTCACCATAGCTAATATCTTCCATCTGGCAATGTTACAAAACAAATGAGACCCGGTTGGTCAAGAGGGGACTAAGTACCTGGCCTGATCCAGGAGATGGCTGGTAATCATAATAGGATTTCTGTTCTGTATCTAGAGGTTGGGAAAAGTAGGTTGAGGAAGAAGCCTCGTTTACCTGCAAATATAACATCAGTTATTCCCACCAGGGCAGTCCTCATTAAACTTCAGCTATACTTTGAACACACGCCTTTGAATCCTCACACCTTGTAAAGGACATTGATTCTCATCTGAAAGAGAGCCAGAGAGGCTGGGGATGGACCTTAGTGCTAGAATGTGTAGTTAACAAGACCAAAGGTTAAGGGGTGGGAGTGGGGGAGCCAGAGACCTACTGTGCTGCAATAGGCTCAAATGACCAAAGACCTACTGTGCAATAGGTCTGTAACAGACTGAGCTCCAGATGGGTGGGAGAAGGTCCCAGAATCTAGGTCTCTTAAGTTGTGTTGTCTTGTTTTGTTTTTTTAAATGTGCTGTTATGTACATACCCCAAAACATTTCCAAACAATCACCTACTCCAGATTTTGAAAAAGAGACTCTCATTATGTAGCCCAGGCTGGCCTCAAATTCCTCTGACTTCCACCAAGGTTATTCCTAACCATAAGATAGGTTTTTTTTTTCTTTAAATTTTTAAAATTAAATTGTGTGTGTGTGTGTGTGCATGTATGTGTGTGTGTGTGTCCATGTAAAGGTCAGACAGAGGATGACTTGAGGGAGATGGTTGTTTTTTACCATGTGGATTATGTGGCTAGAACTCAGGTTGTCAGCCTTGGCCACAATCGTCTTTACCTGATGAACCAAGAACCATCCTAGAGGTTTGCCCTCCTTTCTCTCTCTCTCTCTCTTTCTCTCTTTCTTTTCTCCCTTCCTTTCTTTTCTTTCTCCTCTTTCTCTTTTTAAACAGGGTGTCCTGTAACCCAAAACAACTTTGCTATGTAGCCGAGCATGACTTCGAACATCTGATCCTCCCGCCTCTACCTCCAAAGTACTAATTATAGGCACGTGCCACCACATTCAATTTATGTAGTGCTGGAGAGCGAACCTAGGGTTTGTGTGTGTTTTAGGCAAGCATGAGATTGAGTTATAACCAGAGTCAGGAATTGCTTATGTTTTTTACAGATATTATGTTAGTCGGTATCTCATGGTGATGATGAATACCAGAGATGACAGAAGAACAGGAAAGGGTGAGCCCTGACTCTGTTTTGGGGGTGCTACTTTGATACATTGGTCCCCTTGTTTCGAATCTGTGGTGCAGAGGTACATAGTAGCAGGCATGCCTGGCAAAGCAAAACCTCTCCACTCCTCAGGAAAGCCTGTCAGAATGGGGCGCCCTCCCTCAGCGAGTAACACTCGGACCTTCAAAGGGGTCCGCCTCTCAACAGCGCCACCGTGTGGACATAAACCTTTAACACAGGCGCTGGATGCTCAGTGTCTGGGAAACACAAGCTTACTGTGATCAGTGAACAGTGGTCTGTCTATAAACTAAGATCTATGTCAGGCAGTGCTATCTGGCTCAGGTCACCTTCGTAAAGGGAACTGTGAACTGTCTTCTCTCTGACAAATCCTGTGTTTCTTCAGAGCCTGATGAAGGCTTCTTCGTCTGGAGTTTTCCCCAAGATAAAGTTTTGAATTGTCAAATCGATTTTTTTTTAAGATTTGTTTACTTATTTTATATATATGAATACATCATTCCTCTCTTCAGACACACCAGAAGAGGACATCAGACCACATTACAGATGGTTATGAGCTACCGTGTGGTAGCCATCTCTCCAGCCCTTTAATTTATTCTTAAGTCCATTTTGTTATGTTTTTCAAAGCATTTGTCCATTTCTTTATATTAATACACGTTTTACCACGTGGCTGCAATCTTGCTATGCTGGTATTGTTCCTATTTTTATTTGAGAAATAATTCATTTATCATAAAAAGTGACTGGGTGTGTGTGTGTGTGCATGCGTGCACACATAAAAAAGCCAGAAGTATCCACTCTGCTTTTCCTCTTTATAACTTTTAAAATTTTTATTTTCAACCAGGTATGGAAGCTCACATGCTTAATTCCAGCACTCAGGAGGCAGAGGCTGAGGCAGAGGCAAGCAGATCTCCGTGAGCTTGAGGCCAGTTTAGTCTACACAGCAAGAGTTCCAGGCCAGCCAGGGCTACTTATTTAGACAGTGTCAGAAATATATTTTATTTTTTAAAGATTTACTAATTTGGTCTGGAGAGATGGCTCAGCAGTTAAGAGCACTGGCTGCTCTTCCAGTGGTCCTGAGTTCAATTCCCAGCAATCAAATGGTGGTTCACAACCATCTGTAATGGGATCTGATGCCCTATTCTGTCATGCAGGCATACATGCAAATAGGACACTCATATACATAAATAAATCTTTTTTAAAAAGATGTAATAATTTAAATGATGTGTATGTCAGGGGGTGTGTACTCATGAGGCATGTGCTCAAGGCATCAGACAGAGATGTGGGGACTTGAACTCATGTCCTCTGTAAAAGCAGAATGTGTTCTTAACCACTGAGCCATTATAGGACTGGTCCTTTATAAAGAAACACACAAATACTTCATAGGGGAGCCCAGTTGACCCATGGCTGTGTATACACAAAGCAAAAGCTCCAGAAAACACATTTTATTGAACATGATACACATATTTTTTCTAAACACTTGCATTTTTAGAGAGCTGCTTATGAACTCTCAATAGGTTTTTATTATCTTTCTGTGCGCTCTGTTTATCAGCAAGTAGAGAAGGCCAATTCATAAGCTGATTATATCTAAAAACACATCCTGAGGTGAACACCTCTGGACTTCATCAATACTGACTACCTACTGCAATCTGTTTTCCAAGTCCTAGGACAGCGTGCTGCTACACATGTCCACACTGCAGAAGCCCCACTAAGGGCTGAGTTGTCCTCCTGGAGAAACAGCACTACAAGTCAGCTAACACACATCTTGACACTTTCCTCTTATACAGATCAAGACTAGCCAGCTTCCTCAGTGATCCACGGAACTCAGCCAAGCCATACTTTGTCACATTTGGGCTCAAACCAAATAATAATCATTTTAAAAAGATTTATTTTATGTATATGACACACCAGAAGAAGGCATTGGATGCCATTGCAGATGGATATGAGGCACCATGTGGTTGCTGGGAATTGAACTCAGGACCTCTGGAAGAGCAGTCAGTGCTCTTAACCACTGAGTCATCTCTCCAGCCCAATTTTTTTTTTTTTTGAGACACAGTCTCACTATGTAGCCCAGGCTTTCCCTGAACTCATAAACCTCCTGTGTTAGCCTCCCAGGTGCAAAGCAAGTCTCCTTGTTATGAAAATGAGTATAAACCAAGATAACTATTTGCAGAACTAAAACATAACTCAAGAGTGGACATTTGAGTTTGATATGATTTTATTTAAAAATTTGCAAGGTTGAAGGAGGGATCTGAGTTTTTGTTAAAAGAAAGCAATTTTCACAGTTTATATTCAGCCTTTTAGCTTTATGTTGGATAACAACAGAAAAGATTCCTGTTTAAGATCCTCACTTCAGTATGAGAAGCCAAGTTCCTGGCATTGTGCGGCAAGGTAACTTGGCCCAGCCTGCTCTGAGGCCCATGGCCAGCCTTCTGGCAATGGGAGGCCAGCTCTCGTCCAGACAATACAACAAGGATGTCTCCCCACTGCCATCTGCACAGGGTCCTAAGGGTCCTGTATTTTACAGCTGGAAAATGTGAAAGGACCCTATAACTCGTCCCCTCTGACAAATCCAAATCCAACCCCACTAACTCTTGAGGACAGCAGGTATAAAGTGGGTGGAGTGCGCAAGATGCTCCGTGCTTGACAGAACAGCTCACAGGTTAAAAATTAAGTCAAGAAGCATGCCTTAGTATTTTACAATGTGACTTAAAGAAACAAAGCAAGATGCACAGCACATTCTTGCTGTGGCACTGTAAACTCCTACTGGACGGTTGCTACTGGCAGCCAAACAGATGGGGAGGAGCCACGCACACTGCCATATTGGTCGGCACCCAGTTTTTCAAATGGGTTACTGAATCTAGCCTGAAGGAAATGATGGTCTACAAACTAACAACTTTGTTACTCTAAATGATGAGGTAGATTTTTTTTTTCCTAATATGGTAAAGTGAAGATAAAAGAAAGTCTAAACAACATTTAGTCTTCATTTTTAAAACTTCAGGCTATAACCGCGGTCACACACAATGCAACTGTAGAACGCGAGGCGGCGAGCTCAGAGGTTATATGCAGACACATTATTTGCTTGAGATGCTACCTGAAGAGTCAATAATCAGTCTTGGATCGATCAACTCTTTCCAGAGGACAGTGATCTAAGGAAACAGACAAACCACCAAAGTTAATTCATTTTTCATATCACATAAGCTAAAAACTGTAGTTTAGTTAAATAAGTTTCTGTGAGGGATAGTCGGATAATGAGAATGCTTTCAAAGCTAGTAAAATTGAGTTTATTCACTTGAAATGCAGCTAACTTTTATGTTAAACATATTTCAACCTTTGATTCAGAGCAGGGACTGGGGTGATGAAAAGGAGATTCTGTGGTGTCAGAAAGATTCACCTTGTAGATGGGTGGCTCTGGGAGCTAAGGGGGCCTAACAGCCAGCACAGGGTGGCTGATGTCCTTTCTCTGCCACCGGGCAGTTCTTACCCTAATCTGCCTAAGACAGAACTACCACACAGTATACCAATACAGACGCCCCAGCACTTGGAACGGGTGGATGATGAGAGCCATCTAGTGTCAACAAGGGGAAACTGCAGGTTTTCTGCTTGCAGTTTTCTACATATTTTTTAAAAAGTATGTTGAAATATTGCAAACATAGAAGCACAGGAAATGAGGCCAAACCATCTGACGCTGCCACAAACCCTAAGAACATGTTTCTAGGAAAAAACCTAAAACGATCTTATACTTTAAAAAACATAGGCAAGTGCGGGGCATGATGGTGCAAGCCTTTAATCCCAGCATTTGGGAGGCAGAGGCAGGAGGATCCCTGTGAGTTCCAGACCAGCCCAATCTACAAAATGAGTCTGGGCAGCCAGGGCTCTGTAACCTTGTCTCTAAACAACAAACAAACAAACAAACAAACAAAACCAAAACACAGGCAAGCACAAAGTCTGGTTGAGAGTTCAAACAGAATGTGAATTTTCAGCACTGAAATATAACAGCAAATAAACACAATGTTCCAAATGCAAGCACAAGAGGGAGTGTGGTCTTAACCACAATCAAACTGTCCAGAAGTTACCACCAGCAACTGACTGCTGGCTCCCAACACAGGGAAACCATGTACTTTCCAGGAGGTTAGGGCTGGCAAGATGGCTCATCAGGAAAGGTGCCTGCTGCCAAGCCAGACAACCCGAGTCCGAGTCCCAGGATTCACATGGTAGAAACAGAGGACAATTGGAAGTTGTATTCTGACCTGCACATGTATGCAGCCATATACATGCACGCACATGTGCACATGTGCATGGATATACACACAAATAAATCTAATTTAAAAAATGGAACATCACACACACACAAAAAGGAACACCAGAAGGCAGAACCACCACGTTATGTCATTCTTTGTGCTATCTATCTTTGCTCCTCTGGGTCAGGACTGGGGAACCGAGGGCAGTACAACTTGTAGGGCACATGGTGGAGGCTTCTGAGCTCCCATGTGATCTAAGTCTGGGCTCGAGGCTAAGCTCAAGCTATAGCAATGGCTCTCAGAGTATCTGGCACTACAGATCTGACAAAAGCCAATTTCCTAAGGAAACCTACACAACTAGGATTTTAAAGCAGTGTTGTGCTTTTAAATGAGGACACAGTGTTTGTGTGTTGTCAGGTGGGCTCTGGGAGGTCCATGATGGCACCTTGCTTTGAAACTTGGCACTTGTTGGCTATTCTGAAGGAAGACTAAATGCCCCCAGAGCCCTGATCCTCTAGGATTTTAATACAAGCAGTTTAGGAACCTACAATATCAGCTTTTGTGCCCATCCCACCTCCATCTATCAGTGGAAAGTGTCAAGGGAAGCCTCCTACCCTCTTCTCCTGCGTCACGGCGTACTCCACCACCTCCGTTCCGTTTTCATTGTGATAGACCAGATCAAACTTCCCAGGTTCTTTCAAAGCTGAAACCGGAGGGTAAAGACAGTAAGTCACTTCTCCATGGTTAATACGTTCTTCATGGGGATTTCAAACCACTGGAAAACTGTGTACACTGGGGACACATAGGAAAGGGTAGCATACTGCTATAAATGACACGGCCGCCTTAGCATTTCTCGGAGATTGCCTCATCAGAATGAAACAGGCTGATAAACACACTGAGTACACCCACGGAGAATGTGCAACCACAGGTATTCCCAAAAGGTATTCCCGAGGGAAGGTATAGAATGTTGTCATCAAAAATCACGCATGCCTAAGCTTAGAAACATGAGCAAGCTTCAGCCTTGTATTATAATCTGAGATCAGAAAATTGCTGATACAAGCTGAAACCATTCAAACAATTGGTAACTGATGGGCAAAACTATGAATGTCTGAAAAACATTCTAAAAATATTCATCAAAACATTGACAGACTTGCCAGGGATGCAGCTCAGTTGGTAGACTGTTTCCCTAGCACGCAGCAAGCCCTGGCTCAGTCCTCCGCGCCCCATGAAACTGGTATGGTTGTGGTCATCTGAAATTCTAGCACTCAGGAGACAAATCAGGTCAAGGTCATCCATCACTGGCTACCCAGCAAGTTCCATACAGGGAGCTATGAGACTAGCTCAACAAAACAAAATAGAACAAAACAAAAACCAGGAGGAGGAGCAGCAGCAATAAAGGGCTCACCCAGCAAGCAGAGGTGCTTGTAGCATAAGCCCAAAGACCTGAGTTTGATCCCCAGTACCCACATGGTGTAAGGAAGGAACCAACTCTTCCAAGGTGTCCTGACCTCCACATATCTAAATATGCATACATACATACATACATGCATACATACATACACACACATGAATGAGTGACTGGGGAAAGACACAGAAGTTAGGGGTGGGAGAGGGATAAAAATTATGTGAATACAGTACTCATGTATAAAATTCTCCAAAAAAAATAAAATTAAAACAAACACAACAAAACCCCAAAACTTTAATCATCTTTAATGTATAAAGAAATAAATAAAAAAAAAAACCCAGCAGCTAAAAAACCAAGCAGCAACCGCATATTGTGTATTTGGATCTAGAAGAGCAGACAAAGCGTTTCTTTTCTTTGTAGGGGGAATTGACCCCTGCTTCCTGCAGCTTTTACCACTTCCTTCCTGTGGGGCTCCTTCAGGGCTTGGATGCTGAGCTGCTAACACCATGCATGCAACAGCTCTGAGAAGCTTCTTTTTTCACTTGGCAGGCTTTTTGTTTTGGTCTGAGCCCTAGCTGACTCAAACTGAGAGTCCTCCTGCCTCAGCATCCGAGTGCTGTGACCTGAGCCACTTTGGAAAGCTCTGAGCTGGTGTCGTCTGGAACACCGTCATCCTGTTCGTCACAGCCGGCTCCATCCACTGACTTCAGGAAGTTCGCAGGCGCGGCGCCACCATTCCCACTGCTGGCCAAGCCACACACAGCTCCGCTCACTTCCGGCATGATCCCTCGGTTTCTATGCCCCAGTTTAGCTCCGCAGCACCTTGTTGTTTTGAGACACAGATTCCCATTGGGCCGGTTGGGCTGGCTGGTCACCGAGTCCTAGGACGCTACCTGTGCCTACTTCGCCAGCACTGGGGTCCCGGGCACCCGCCATCACGGCAGGCTTTTGTCTCACATGGGTTCTGAGGTCAACCTCAGGTCCTTACGTTTGCGAGGCAAACCTTTGCCATCTGAGCTTCCTCCGAGAACAACCTCATCTACTTACCCTGCTTCCTGGTTAGGTACCCAAGCTACAGACAGTAAAAGCCCTGGTCCAGGCTATCAAGGATCAATAGCTGTAGCTAACCAGGGATAAAGGAGAGAGAGCCATTTATAATAACATACTGTTGGCTACACAGGCCCGGGGTTCAGCCAATCCCCAGCATTCCAAAAATATAAGTAAAATGTGTAAACTTACACATATAAAATGTCTGAAATGGATGTATATTTAATACCCAAAAAAGTACGTTCATTTGCCAACCTTCCAAGTGGATCTTATTTACTGAAATGATGGATTTTTTATATATATATAAACCATATCCCTATTATCTGTAACTTTTCCTTTTGAGTTTATTTTAAATTTCTTTTTTTTCTTCTGTTTTTGTGTGTGTTTTTTTTTTTTTTTTTTTTTTTTTTTTTTTTGCTTTGTTTTGGTTTTTTGAGGCATGGTCTTACATAGCCCAGGCTGACGTCTAACTTTCTTGGTAACTTCTAACTTTGTGACTGTAACTTTGAGGATTAACCCCTAGCTTCTAATCTTCCTGTCTCAGGCTCCTGGGTACCGGGATTACAGGAATGTCCCCCAAGTTTTAGGCAGAGCTGGAGCTGGAGATGGCTTCTTTGTACACGGTAGGCAAGCACTCCATCTCTAGTCTTCTCGCCATACGTTATAACTTTATAAAGCATCTCACCTGACAGCTCAGGCTGCCCTTAACTTTGCGATCCCCCAGCCTCTTCCACCCCTTGAGTGCCTGGGATCAGAGGTGAGGGAGCACACCCGTGTGTCTCCTCGAGCCGGTGTGAGAGGACAGGGAATGTAGCAGAGCAGGAGTACTGGGCTCTATGTCCACCTGTCCAGTGAGCAGAAGCCATGATTCTGATCCCTAACTCAAGACACCGAAATATAGTGGTTTTCAGGGCTATCTGGGTGTAGATTCTTCTTAGCGGCTTTTGATCGGAACCTCCTTGAGTCCCTGTTCAGTTCAGGTTTCCTAGAAGTGTGTGCTTTTGCAGTTCACATTCACCGGGATGTACAATCTTCTGCCAGAGTGAATAATGACGGGATAAGAGCAACCAGCCCAACAGCTCTGACAGTTGGCCCAGCATCTCCATCCAAGGAGAAGGTGCAGAGGCCCCTGAGGCTACAGTGTACTGGCAGTGGAGAGCGGAGAATGGCACCGAGTCCTCGGTGAGTGGAGGCCGAGGGAGAGCACTCCTCTAGGAGGAAAGGCTGTGCAGAAGCTACTGTGGCTAGGGAGTCTAACGCTCCACACTCACTCCTAAAATACTCACCTGGTAAGGAGGAGAGGACTTCTATATCCACTTGCTGGGTCTCTGGATCGTGGCTCAATATTTTTCCTTCCTTCCAAAAATAAAAGACCACGTCAAAAATCTCTATGTAAAACACTGTAATGTACTAAAGGTCACTAAGTAAGTAGACTTTAAAATGGCTACTTTTATGTAATATAAATTTATCTCCACAAATCAACATGTAAGGGAAGAATAAAAACAATGGACTTATAAGTACTTTACCTGAACATACGGAAAAACTGTTAGAGGTAAAATAGGCACACGTTTGTCGTGACTGGCAGATACCTACAGCACTTGACGAAAGGTAAAAATGATTGTAGGTCCCCAGAATTGATGGGGTGTGGGAGGAAAGTAGCTAAAGCCATGTGTTCAAGTGATGAGTAGCCTGACACCTTTCACAGAGAGAGCCACACATACACAGTGGTGCTCCTAAGCTAGCACTGCTGGGGACACTCCGAATCCCAGGTCCCCAGGTGTCAAAGCTGGTTTTCAGATGCTTGAAGAAGATGCACTGAATCTGGGTGTGATGGTACATGGCTGCAATCCAAGCACTCCAGAGGCAGAGGGGCAGAGGGCCAGAGGGGCAGAGGGCCAGAGGGGCAGAGGGCCAGAGGGGCAGAGGCAGAGGGGTTATGAGTTCAAGGCCAGCTTGGACTATACAGTTAAAACACTGCCCCTCGCTGGGCGGTGGTGACACACGCCTTTAATCCCAGCACTTAGGAGGCAGAGGCAGATTTCTGAGTTCAAGGCCAGCCTGGTCTACAGAGTGAGTTCCAGGACAGCCAGGGCTACACAGAGAAACCCTGTCTCAAAAAACCAAACCAAAAACAAAAACAAAAACAAAAAAAAACACTGCCCCTCAAAATTATAAAGTCAGGGGGAGGGGCTGGAAAGATGGCTCAAGGGTTAAGAGCACTGTCTGCTCTTCTAGAAGACCTGAGTTCAATTCCCAGCACTCACAACTGTCTGTGACCCCAGCTCTAGGGGATTTAACACCCTTGCAAACATACATGCAGGCAAAACACCAATGTACATAAAATAAAAACTTCAAAAAATCATAAAAAAAGGTAAAAAGAAGACCCACTGTCCTGTGCATACGGTTGACAATGGGAAAACCAATGGGCAGCTGTAGGGCCATATACTGAAGCCAACCAATGAGATCTTTTTCGTTGTTGTACTTCAAGACGAAGTTTCTTCAAGTAAAAGTCCTGGCTGACCTGGAACTCCTTTTGTAGACCTGGCTGTCCTCAGACTCACAGAGATCCATCTGCCTCCGCCTCCCTTCTGGGTTCTGGGATCATAAAGGCACATGCCACCTCACCTACTTTCCAATCAGCTCTTATTTTTAAAGATTTTATTTTTACGTATATAGGTTCGTATGTATGTATGTATGTATGTATGTATGTACGTACGTACGTATGTATGTGTTAGTGTGTGCACGTGCTTTCTGGTGCTGGATCCCCTGGAGCTGGATGGGTTTTTGAGCCACTTGACATGAATGCTGGGAACCAAACTCCCATTCTCTCTAAGAGCAGCAGGGAAGTACTCCTTACAGCCCAGGCGTCTCTCCAGCCCCAGCACTGTGCTCCTACCCTTACCCTCTGGGCACACACAAGACATGCATTTATTTTCTCACTTGTTTTGTCTTTGCGTAGCTATGTGTTTATTCTTGGGACAGTCCCGGGGTTTGATTCTCAGAAGCACAACAGTTCCGTGTACCCTACATGGAGCTCACCATTCTGTTTGGTTTTCTCAAGTATCAGCAACACAAGACTGGGAGACGTCACGGTGACACTTGTGACATCCACAGGGCTCTCACCTTCACTTTGTGACATTATTTACCAACAGTGTCTACATCATCCGGGCAAGTAGTAAAATATTATTTAAATACATCGGTACTTTATTTATTTAATATATTTATTTATTTTTTATGAATACACTATACCTGTCTAAAGACACACCAGAAAAGGGCATCAGATCTCATTACAAATGGTTGTGAGCCACCATGTGGTTGCTGGGAATTGAATTCAGGTCCTCTGGAAGAGCAGTCAGTGCTCTTAACCGCTGAGCCACCTCTCAAGCCCACTTAATTTAATTAAATGTTTTTAAAAAGGGATCTGCCGGGCAATGGTGGCGCACGCCTTTAATCCCAGCACTTGGGAGGCAGGGGCAGGTGGATTTCTGAGTTCGAGAGTTCGAGGCTAGCCTGATCTACAGAGTGAGTTCCAGGACAGCCAGGGCTATACAGAGAAACCCTGTCTCGAAAAAACCAAAAAAAAAAAAAAAAAAAGGGATCTATGTTAGCCCAGCTGGCTTCATATCCAAAACTCTCCTGCCTCAGACTCCCAAGTGCTGGGATCATAGGTAGGTGCTGTTATGTTGGGACAAGTTTCTGATATACTGGATTTAATCTTTTTTTTTTTTTTTAAAGAGACAAAGGCTCATTATATTGTCCAGGCTAGCTATAAATGATTTCCAGCCTCCAAGTCCTGGGTGATTTGAACAACAGGTGCACCCACCACCAGCTAACTTCATGGTTTCCATTGAGACTGCCTTACCTTGTAGTCAGAGACGTCAGGAGAGTAGTCGGATGTGAGCTCCAAAAGCTAAAAAAGAAAAAAGACTCCTTCAAGTACACAGACACCCCATCCTCAGTCACTCCTTCAAGTACACAGACACCCCATCCTCAGTCACTCCTTCAAGTACAGAGATTCCCCCCCATCCTCAGCCACTCCTTCAAGTACACAGACACCCCCATCCTCAGTCACTCCTTCAAGTACACAGTCACCCCATCCTCAGTCACTCCTTCAAGTACAGAGATTCCCCCCCCATCCTCAGCCACTCCTTCAAGTACACAGACACCCC